TGTTTGGGAGGATTCAATAAAGATTCCTTCAGCTATCCAGATGTTAAAAAATCAGAGAAATTCACTTGTTTCTTCACAAAGCCACATACGTGGACTTTTTATGCAGAACTCTGTGTTAGTAGGGAAGACAGATTTTCCTTAAATAAGCCAACCAGTTTAATCATACTGCATTCCTAAATAGCCACAACCTTTCAGCAGCAACACTGACAAGCTCAGCAACACATATTTTGATCCTCTGGATGTCTGTCTGTGACTCATTTTCCTTTTCAGGGACATTTGGGTGGACTGGAGAAAGGCACCATGAAGAAAGAACTGGAGATGGGGACTCAGATCGAAGGTGATGTGCTTCCTCACAACAGTGAAGGCTCAGTGCATACCAAAACAATGTCACTTCCACCTGTCAGAGGGAGGAAGATTTATGTTCTCATCAAGTTAGGTATGAGATAAAATCTAGTGTCACTGTACTGATTCCATTAGGGTGCTCTTTAACACAGCCCAGGTTTTGACTTTGAATCACCAGAGGCAGGTGCTTGATTAATTTCCATCGGTCTACTCCTATGTTGGATGTTAACTGCGAGCTTTAAAGAGGTTGGTGAATCAGGCCCATTTAGGGATACCCAATGCATCTCAGGTTAAAGCTGTACTGCAACAGACTCCAGGTCTGCTGAAACATACCCAACATAGGAATGGACTCTGCAGGGTGCATTTCACACAAATAAATATGTGGAATTTGGGAAGCATAGTATCAGGATGAGGTGGCCATAAATAAAAGGGAAAAAAAACCCCAAACCAAAGCAAAGCAAAAGGAAGTTCTTTGACTGTGCTCTCAACTATCATATTAGCTCAGCCGAGAATTTACATTCACATTATTAATAGGTGGCATTTATTAGAAAATTACAATGCAATACTAAGCAGAAAACAGGAAAGCACTCATTCCTCTTTGGAAGAGGGTTTTCCTATGTGTTTTTGTTGTTGTTTTTGTTTCTGTAACTAATTTATATATTTATTTTTACAAAGTAAGCTCAGTTAGTGAAAATTATTTTATGCTCCCTTGCTACTATACCAACAAAATGAAATCCAAGTTACTGCATGATGTGACATGTAAACCATTTGTGCTGAAGTGATTGCCAGAAATGGATGGAAAGTTTTTATCCTGAAGAAACACTCAAATAAAATGCTAGCGTAATCTAAAATTATTCACTGACAGTAACTGCAGGATTTTTTGTGTCTTCTTTTCAATTTAGCCGAGTCTAGTATTCAACAACTTAGAGCATCAGCAGAGAAAGTGATAAAGTGATGTGTTTTCCCTTCTGATGTTCAGTAAATCTGAAAACAAGTAGGTTTTTTTAAAAAGGAAGGCATAAAACAATTTTGCTTGCATTTCATGGGGAAAAAACCCCATCAGTAGTACTGCCATTTGAGGTAAAGCACACATGTTTTCAAAGAAAGTATTATGAGTGTGTTACAAACACTAACATTTTGGCAGTTTCACTCAGATCCTGATGCAGGTCAGGTTTTAAAAGCTAGACAGCCTCAGCTCCACCTAGATGCTGTGATCTCAACTGCGAGCGCTTATCTCACTTAGCATTCTCATGTGCCATAATTCAGCTTCATTTCCTTTCTTTAAGGCAGTTCAAAGTCAGCACAAATAGATAAATGGTTTGCTTCTTTTTCATAATATAACTACAGATTTTCCAAACAGCCACTTGCTCCTTTGCTAAGAGAAAGTTAGAACTGTGCACACATTTTTCTGCACCAAGAAAAAAAGTGACAGTTCATGAGTTTTTGTTATCAAACTCTAAAATTACACGGTCACATCAATCCACCTCCTCTGTCCTATGGAGCTTCTCTGTTATCACAAAGGCTATTCAACATTTCCCCAAGAGCCAAGACCAACGCTTGAAAAAGAGTTTAACTTTGTACGAAACCAAAAGCGTGCCCCATTACCCACCACCTGAGACACCCCCGCCCGACCTCGTTCTTTCTAGTGCTGTTATTTCAGACCTGTATCAGTTCTCAAGCCTGACCACAGCTGGGAGTAGTGATCTCCACCCTGCCCCCTGCAAGCCTGTGTAACATTAGTTTGCATCTTTTATTCATTCATTGACAGAAATATCAAGAGGTTTCTCTAAATGACAGCAGTATGCCCGGATGACTGATCTGCCAGAAGGATTCTTAAGCACTGTGGAAATGCTTAAGAACTGGCTACCAAAAAGACTGCTTTGAAGTTACCATTTGCAGCACCCACAGTACTTGGGCTGGATCAGTTTTTACTGGATTACTTTCATGGCAAGCTCTTTTTGTCCCATTTGAAGAGTTTCTTTGTGAGCAATGAATGAGGATGCATCTTGGGAATGATCTGATACCTCAAAAGATGATTCTTGTAGTTTATCTTGCATAAGCTTCTCTTCTGAAGGAAATGCTGCAGAGCCCTTGTATTGATCACAACGATAGCGCGTGCAATGTGCCTTTTATCACTGGGCTGTCTGCACTATCACTTTTCAATATAACTCTGAAGCAAATCCTTGCAAGCTAGGACTTTTATTAATTCTTATATGTGTAGATATATACTGCCCTTTATAATAAAACATTTTTTTCTGCAAACACTTCAAAACAAAGCTTGTCATGCTGAAATCGGTGGAAGTTTACTCACTGCCTGGCAAAGAACTGCAATTTAGACTATTTTGGAAATGGTAAAGTCAAGAATATCTTTATGTTTAAAAAAACAGAAGTTTTTTTTTTTAAAAAAGTTTTGTTTTCTGTACTGAGTTTTAATGGAGAGAAAAACCCCAAGAATTTGCACATCAAAGCAGCTAGCCAAAGGTAAAAGCTACATTCAGAAAAGGAAAACTGATGGCCTCTGTCAGCTATTACACATTTAGTAAAAGTTTCTAACCAGCACTCAATCTATAGGAGCAACGAAGACTGACATTTAAAACCATACCACATTATCACATTGTAAGCAACGCTCCCCTATATGTTTCTACATACCCAGAGAAAAGTTGATTTTGAAGGTGTTAAACATTAACTGGTTTTAAACCAATAAATTTTTAACTTAAAATAGTAATGGTCGTAGCTGTTTTTTTAATAATAATAAAAAAGATACACTAAGTTCTAGGTGTCAAAGCCATTACTCATGCCTATGCCCATATACTTTATTTGTCATTGGTCACTGAATAATTCAATTATTTTAATACTCTTTAGCATAGCTGCAATGACAATTGAGTGCTTGTGTGAACACAGTACAAACTTGCATGTGGACAATCACGTAGTCTGAACAACTCTTGTTCACAGCAGCGCTAAGGGTACTACCTAATGGGTTTCGAAACACAATTTCTAGCATGCAAGTATTAGATACTTGAGCATACATACATCCTTCGCATAGCACTTCTGGCAATGCTATGTTTTTACCTCAGTAGATGCACTCTATTTCTGGGTCTTCTGACCTTCCTTCCTATGCAGACTACATGATAATGGACAAACTCCTGCTCAGTTCTGTAGATATTTTTTCCTTATTTTATGCAGAATTTAAAAAAAATACCCTGCTGGAAGCCTTACAATGCTCTGCAATTTTAGCTTAAATAATTTTATGGGTCAATAGAAATACTCATTGAAGCTGTTACTGAGTGACAACTGGGAAATGAAAAATTACAGTAATTCAGGAACAACCGTTCTCTCCTTTTCTTCAAAGCTCTGTTTTGAGTTAGATCAGTCCTCATTGACCTCAGCAGAGAGATTCTTTTAGCTTTGGATTAGGCTACATCCTACAGGCAATGAAAAGAACCAGCCCCAAAACACAACTTTACATATGCTTTATGTGATGAAGATACTTTCCTATGTTTAGCAAGACGATGACATCATTTTTTGCTGCTTCCTGCCTTCATTCACACCGAAGCTGGAACCCAGGATGTCATAGTTGTATCACACAACTATGGGAAGACTCTTACAGCAGCTAATAATACCAACGAATTGCTTTTTATCAATGTGAGCCAGGCTAATTTCTACAACGCAATGCAAAATGCAAAGTGGACTCCTTTCAGTTTCCTTTCTCAGCAGTTCTCCCCTTCCTGTCTTTAGCATCAGTGACACTGCCATGGCAGTTTTGATACTCAGAATAGAAAATGGAAGCAGAAAAATTCATGAGCGGGCAACAAAATCAAATGACATCCAACATGCGTGCAGCACGTTTGCTCTTCAATACACTTCAGAGACGCAGTGCCAAGCTAACAGCAGCTGATTCTGGGGGCAGGGCCAGTAAGCGTGGAAATGGGGTCAAAAAGCGAGGAGCTGGCAGGGTTTCTCTACCAGCATTAACACAGGAGAGGGCCAGACCTTCTGGGAGTGAGCTCATGTCTGAGCCAAGGACAACCAGGAGGGCTGCTGGGAGAGGGGCAACAGTGGCAGGAGGCCTAGAGATACTGGAGGTGCCCTTTAACAGCTGGCTTGGGAAATAGCTGTGAATTTGGCTGCCAGGCCCACTTGAGCTGCCTCCAGCACAGCCCTATTTGGAATCACTCGGTAACATATGGGAGCAAGCATCGAACCCATATTCACAGAGATGGAAAATCAGAGGCATTGACAGTGTGGCATTTTCACAAGCATCTGTGTGTTTTTTCAGGAAGGATACCTGGGGATCAGCAAGACCTTTATCTTAAAATAGGTACTTCAGAAACTTTCACCCTACCTGACTGGCTCAATGTACAAAGGAAGTCAGTATCACAACAGAAGCTAGACTGACAGAGTTTCAGAAAACTAGCATGAACCTATCCTTCAGTAACCAGTCACGATTTAGTTTAGAACCAGTAACCAGTAACTGATTACTTGTACAAAGTAACCACATCAACTTCAATCGTGGCTGGAAAGCTATTGTTTTCGGAGACACAAGTAACTTCAATTGCAGAGATGGTTTTAGAAGCAGTGTTATAATATGTGATAAAAAGCCAGGAACATTAAAGCACACTGTTGGATTAAAAGAAAAATAAAAGCCTCGAGAAACTTACCACTGAGGTGAGAGCCATCTGAAAACTGTAGATTCGTGCAAGGCCAAAGTCAGCTAACTTTATCTGCCCACTGCTGGTTACAAGGATATTTTGGGGTTTCAGGTCCCGATGCACCACACGATGCGAATGCAGAAAATCCAGTCCCCGAAACAGCTGAAGCATCATATCCTAAATATAAGGAAGAAATCAATATGTAATTATCAAGACAAGGTGGCAAAAAGTAAACTCCCTGTCATAATCCGCAAAAAATAATTCAATAAATACTGACTTAAATATGTACACAGGAGATAAAAACAACTATTAACATAAAATAGACAGGATGCTGCTAGAACCAGCTGACTTGAACAGGTGTCCTTATCAAGTTAATGTATTGTTTCTAGTTGAATTATTTGAGGATGATTGATAGAAGTATAAAGACTGGTCAACACACTTAAAAGAAATAGCAAAATCAAATCTGTAAATCCCAGGACAACTTCAAAAGAATGCTGTCCAAGTAAGAAAAACACATAGTAGCTTTTTGCTCTTAACTTTAAACCACACACCACTTTGCATCTCACAAGTTTATGCTTTGTCCTGCCCCAGTGAAGCGAAATTTTATCCCTCACTTCAACTGGCACAAGGATCTGTTTCAATGAGAAAAGCTGTATAAATGACAAATTTCCCAGGATTTAAAGTTATAGAGGGAAAAGTTTACTTGGCAAAACCTGTTGTATAGAATTTACTGAATAAGACAGAAACTACCTTTAGATCAAAGTTTAGCACTAAATCAATGTAATAAACATAAGTAACTGTTCTCATTTTGCTTTCTGTTTTGTTATAGTGATGCAATCTTCTATGACATTTCCACAGCTGAAGAAACTATTTAATCTGTACTCATGTTTTCAAATTAGTCTTAGTAATGTGAAAGGAATGAACCAACGGACTCAAAACTAAATACTAGAAATCCCCTGAATTCCAAATTAGAAGGATACTGTCAACTTGAAAATTACATTTGCAAAACAGGCAGTTACCAAAAGATGCTGCAACAAGTAAGAAACAAAAGGGATAAAGAAAAAAAAATATTTTCTGTATGCACTTGACTTGAGTTCATGAAACTCCAGCTCTGTGTTTGCTGGTGGCATATGGCCTTTCCATAAGCCATGCAGCAGGGTGTCCACCAATCCTGTTATTAGGACCAAAATGATCTTGGAGAGGTGGATGGCGTGAAACAGGAGAAAAAGGAAGAAGGATAAATTGAGGCTGGTTGCTTTTGTTCCTCTCTAGGGACTTGGGCATGTTTCAAGTAAATATTCAAGGCATGCTATTAAAAGGAATGATATCTGAAAACATTCAATTGACAATATTGCTTTAGCTGGATGCTTTTTTAAAGATACACTTTATAGACATTGCTATATCATTTAATACAAAATTATTATTTTCATGTAATGTTCCCTGATCATGTCTACAGAAAGTATTATAAAATGTATAGATACTAAGGCTGGAAGCTCTAATCTGACCTCTGACAAAACATGGCCATTTCTATATATAGCCTATAACTTTGCCAAACAGTAGTAACAGTGGGCTGCTCATACAGTAATCAGTTTTTATTTGAAGACTCTGATGATGGAGGTATTACCATTGAACTACGGATGCTGTGACAGCATTTAATTATTATCACATTTGAAGGATGGTGGTAAGGTGAGAACCTCATTCCCTGTTAGCTGATGCCTTTCATTCCCTTCGCTTCCCCAGGAAAAATTGAGATCTGATAATTCTGATAACTAGTATAATAGGGTGTTCACCTTTAAAACAAATATACAAAGTATATTGAATACTCTTGTATTTATGTAATTTCCCTTTGCAGTTCAGAAATACGTGGAAGAACTAGGACTACAGCTCTGCAGGTTTCAGCCATCAGTAGAACTAATATATGTCATATCTGCTCACTCTGTGCTATTATAACTTAAATCAAATCCCAACAGTCTTTGGATCAGTCTTGCAGATGTAAAGAACATGCCAAGAACATTTAAGCGTGTGGTTATCTTAAGTATGTACTTAATGGTTTCACTGAATTTGGGTCTAATTTTTTTTTATTCCCTGTAGACATAATATCAGACAAAATAAGAAAATAATTTAAAGAACTTATGGATTAGTCAGTAGACCCTGGAGAGTCCCTTTTTGGTGACATTTCTGTATCCTACCCATTTGTCAAGTATGTAAACTCATTCCTGCAGTTACCAAACATATAAAGAATATTTTTTCCTTACAACTGATGCTGGTTTTGTTGCAACTTTCTTCTTCAAGCTCAGCAAATGCAATTCTGCCCTGCTACTTGCAAGTTGCAAGCAATGTCTTCAGTTTCTAAATTCACAGTCTCCTTCCAGGCACAGGTGAAAGAAGAAAATATCTGCAAATGGAAACTGGTATATCTTTTCTTCCCCCCATGGGACTCAAAAGATGAATATCATTTACTGAAGTTCTCCTCACACACAAAAAATAAGATGTGATGCAGAAAAGTGTACCAGGAAAGTGTAAATTTAAAAGGTATTAGAAAGAAGAAAGAAAACTGGGAGAAAAAGTGCTATACTTCCTCTTCCAGGAAACTCAGAGTTAGTCCATTCAGGTTATTCTCTAGTATTAATTTTGGACTGTTGATCATGTTCTTTTGCTATCCCTTATTGCCTACTATTACACATATGAAGAGATTTCAGTTCAAAATTGTCTTGGAAGAATAGCCCAAAGATTCATGTGTCTAAAGAAGGGCACTTTGATGTAAAAAGACCATTTGTTATTTGTGATTCATTATTGTCCTGTTTTTAAATTCTCAGCCAGTTAGAAAAAGAGCAGAAACCAAAATCACATGACACAGGCTTATTATTATGCACTTTAGATACAGAATACCAAATTGTGCAGCTCAGAATTTGGTATTTGTTGGCACAAATAGATTTTCAATATCAAAGCAAACAAGAGAGAGAGCTTTTGAGTTACTTTTTTATCCATAATGAATGATTAATTTTGTGCTGTACATAATCCTAGTCAAAGGCCGTTAGGCCTCACGTTTGGAAAATTACTTCATACTCTTAGTCAGCTACTTGCAAGAAACTTCAGACTCAGTCTGGGCTATGTGTTTTCTTTGATACCGTAACTAATATCAGAAGATAATAACCTGTGCTCGCAAATTGGATAAAGGCCATATACATGCATGAGCCAGATCACTAGCTAACTAAACCAGGATAATTCCACTCATCTGACGGAAATGCATTCATTTTTACCAGTGATGATTACCCAATATCATCTCAATTACCAAGATCTAGAAATAACTGCAAGACAGTCTTCATGTGCCTCCAGGATTAGTTTGTTCCATGTCTGCTTTTCCCTGAGAAATTTTCTGTGGTAGCTAGGCATACTATACTTTGGAATTACAGTTAAAATCATATTTCAAAAGTTAATTGCAAAATGATCAATTCTATTTGACAAACAAGAAGATTCATGCCTTAGCAGATTTGAGGAACAAGCTCTAATGAGTCATGATCAAGCCTCTACTGATGTCTGTCAGATGTTCTTTGCATATTGTATGTTTACAAACATCGACACAGAATAGTGCCTGTTCTTTCAGATTAGAGATTTCTGCCATGCTTCTAATATCACAAAACCTATGATGGTTGTTGCCCAAGTTGAAGATATATACATTATTCCACTGGGATAACTTTCAGATAATCATGGCTTTATAATGTTTTCCCTTTTCAGGCTACATTTTCAATGCAGTCTATGCACAGATATAAAATATTTATCCATAACTCAGTTGAAAACTGAGCTATTTTGGGATGCAATGAACAAATACACTTTCCTTAGAGGTAAATACGTAGCTTTAATTTTGTAAAAGCCTCATTATGGAAACAGTTTGGAGCAAAATTTGTTATGGAAATGCTGCATCTTTTGCATGTTCCACCATATATGGTATCGATGATGGCATTGCCCAGTCTGATATTTACTGAATTTATCAGCACTGAATGTCAGGACCAAATTACGACGAACTTTTCAAGCAATACCATATTACATGATGAGTCTCAATAACACACGGAAATATGTCCTGCGTATTCTGGTGTCAGCGAGGATGGGGACAAGTTTGGGTTAGACTGAGCAGCTGCTGTTGCTGCCTCTGCCAAGGGCGGGCTTCACAGCTCACGCTTCCTGACTCAGGGGCAGCAGGAGCAGAATACCTTGGTTTCCTACAGACTTTTGTCTACCCCTTGTCCTATCCCCTCTTGACTCTATGCTTCACTGACCCCTTTTAACCCTCCTCCAGCTTCTGATCCATAAATCCCTTCCAAGCCATTCGTTTTCAAACTACCACTCTGACCCTTTAAGAGTCACCCACCATCTTGACTTCCAGCTAAAACACCCGTCAATTGCCTGCCATAACTTACTTAACAGCCAGATTCTCTGGAGTACTCCGCCTGCATAATCCAAAAGAGGATGGCACGGCTGTCAACTAAATTATTGAAGTATTTACTCAAAGAAAAGAGAAAATAGGGAGGTTTTGGGGGTGTTGGTGCCCAGGTGCTGGCAGCCGGGGCCACAGGGGCCTTAGTCAGGGGAGACCAAGGGCTGCCCCGTGCCAGAAACAGCTGTTTCCAGCTGGTTCCAGCTGGTTCCAGCCAGCTCCAACTGACCAACCACAGGGCACAGCTGGGCCCATCAGCCAAAGATGGTGGTGCCTCCGTGAAAATGTGTTTAAGAAAGGGCAGAAAAGACTGGAGGGAAAAAGGAGGAGGTAACCAAAGGAGTGAGACACAGCACAGGCAACACCAAGGTGAGAGAGGAGGAGGAAGAGGAGAAAGAGAAGGTACTCTGTGGTGGAGCAGATTTGCACACTGCAGCCTGTGGAGGACCTGCACTGGAGCAGATGGATACTCCAGAGGGAACTGCAGCCTGTAGAGAGGACCTATGCTGGAGCAGGCAGAAAGTGTGAGGAGGAAGGAGCAGCAGAGAGGAGATGCTATGGACTGACCACAACCCCTCCCACCCCATGCCCCTGTGCCGCTGGGGGTGGGGAGACCCAGGAGCGATGTGGAGCCTGGAAAAAGGAACGGGAAGGTGTTCTTTGAATGTTACCCTTTTTTCCCCCACTACCTGAATTAGCAATTAAATAGCTACCTTAATTGGCAAGTTCGTTTTCCCCAAGGTGA